TCTTTGATCAAAATGTTCAGTGACAGTAGCCGAGTGCCATCCACTTCTGGTCTCATGACAAAGGAGGCAGTTGTTCATGGAAGTAATTAGCCATGCATTCCCTATCCTCCACCTGTTCCTAGGGCAGGGATTTTTGTTTTGTTTCTGTTGTCTCTCTAGCACCAAGAAGTGCCTGGTACATACTACTTATACTCAGTGCTCAGGCACTCAGTAAATATTTGTTAAATGAATAAATATATATCTCACTTATCTCTGTCACAACCCCTTGAAGTAAACAGGGTTATTACAGGGTTGCTTCATGATTCTGGGCTAAATCCTTTAACGTTTCTGAACCTCGTTTTTCTTTTCTATAATGTCAGAGAATTGAACTAGATAATCTCTGAGTTCTCTACTCAAGTAGTTCTGACATTCTGTAAAACTGCATTTCTCCCAGGTACCCAAGTCCTAATAATGTAGCTTCCTCTAGATCAGAGTTTCTTGACAGCAACACTATGCAAATTTAGGCTAGATAATTCTTTGCTGAGGGGTCTGTTCTGTAGGATGTTTAGCAGCATCCCTGACCTCTACTCCTCACTAGATGCCAGTAGCACCTCTCCCAGTTAGGACAACAGAAAATGTCTACAGACGTTGCCAAATGCCTCCTAAAACCAAACCAATCCCCCTGCTGTCGAGTTGATTCTGACTCATAGTGACCCTATAGGACTGAGTAGAACTGTCATATAGGGTTTCCAGGGAGTGGCTGGTGGATTCAAACTGCCCACCTTTTGGTTAGCAGCCATAGCTTGCTGTAACTCTTAACCACTGCGCCACCAGGGCTCCAAATGCCCCCTAGGGGGTAAAATTGTCCCTAGTTGAGAACGACTGTCCTAGATTCTCTCCTGGTTCTTTCTCTTGGCATTTAGGCCCTGGAATTAAAAAATAAAACAAGAAACAGTTGCCATTGAGTTGACCCTGACTTATGGTGACCCCATGTGTGTCAGAGTAGAAATGTGCTTCATAGGGTTTTCAGTGGCTGATTTTTTTCAGAAGTAGATCTCCAGGACTTTCTTCTGAGGCATCTCTGTATGGATTTGAACCACCAACCTTTTGGTTAGCAACTGAGCGGGTTAACTGTTTGCACCACCTAGGACTCGTGGAATTAGATCTCCTAAACTGCCCAATTTCAAACAGCTCTTGTTTTCCTCTAAAAATCATTTTCAGCTTGATTGTCTTTTATGGTCTTCATCTAAATCCTCTCTAAAACAATCCCCTGTATGTACCCACTGTTTCCCAAAAGATATAAAGTTGTGTTTTTGTTGTTGTTGGTTTTGGTTTCACATTTTGACCTAACAGATACCTTTATTAAGTCTTAAATTCTTGCATCTTAGATTCCGTTGTCTTCGTTACAAAGTCACATTTTGAGTCATATGTATTCTGGGCGTGCTGTTTTTCAGACAGACATTGACATTTTCCAAATCATCTCTGTAATTATATTTCTTCATCAGCGTTATAATCTTAGCTATATAATTTTTGACTACCAGATGCTTGACAACATTTTTATTCTTATTTAATCTTTATTATTAAGTAGCCCTTACACCATTTTACAGATTGGGAAACCAGCCTGGTGACTG